GATTAGCAAGATTAGATCACATGGAATATAGGAAGAACTAGCTATTTGGTAACAGAACTGGCTCAAAGGTAGAAGGCAGAGGAAGGTGGTGGAAGGTTGCTTTTCAGACTGGAAGCTTGTGACCAGTGGTGTGCCGCAAGGATTGATGCTGGATCAACTGCTTTTTGTCATTTATATAAATGATTTAGATGTGAACATAAGAGGTATGGTTAGTTAGTTTGCAGATGACACCAAAATTGGAGGTATAGTAGACAACGAGGAAGGTTACCTCAGGGTACAACAGCATATTGGTCAAATGGGCCAATGGGTCGAGGAGTGGCAGAGGGAGTTTAATTTAGATAAATGTGAGGTGCTACATTTTGGAAAGGCAAATCAGAGGAGGATTTATACACTTAATGATAAGGTCCTGGGGAGTGTTGCTGAACAAAGAGACCTTGGAGTGCAGGTTCATAATTCCTTGAAAGTGGAGTCATGGGTAGATTGGATAGTAAAGAAGGCATTTGATATGCTTTCCTTCATTGGTCGTTGCAATGAGTATAGGTGTTGGCAGGTCATGTTGCGGCTGTACAGGATACTGGTTAAGCTACTTTTGGAATACTGTGTGTAATTCTGGTCTTCCTGCTATAGGAAGGATGTTGTGAAACTAGAAAGGATTCAGAAAAGACTTACAAGGATGTTGTCAGGGTTGGAGGGTTTGAGCTATAGGGAGAGGTTGAATAGGCTGGGGCTATTTTCCCTGGAGCGTCGGAGGTTGAGGGGTGATCTTATAGAGGTTTATAAAAATCATGTGGGACATGAATACGGTAAATAGGCAAGGTCTTTTCCCTGGGGTGGGGGAGTCCAAAACTAGAGCGCATAGCTTTAATGTGAGAGGGAAAGATTTAAAAGGGACCTAAGGTCAATGTTTTCATGCAGAGGGTGGTGTGTGTATGGAATGAGCTGCCAGAGGAAGTGGTGAAGGCTGGTACAGTTACAACATTGAAAAGGCACCTGTATGGGTATATGACTAGGAAGGGTTTGAGAGGGATATGGGCCAAATGCTGGCAAATGGAACTAGATTTATCTAGGATATCTAGTCAGCATAGTCAAGTTGGACTGAAGGGTCTGTTTCAGTGTTGTACATCTCTATGATTCTAAATAGATGGTACACTCCACAAATAACCGGCAACAGGTAAATCATACAATTTGTAGACTATCATATGCAGGAGGATCATTGATCAGAGCCCAGATATTTTCTTTCATTCTTTACCTGAAGTTGGGCATCTTTGACCTGGTCATCAGCTACTGACTCTCCCTAATTGCCTTCGAGAAGATTGTGATCAGCTGCCTTTTTAAACCACTGCAGTCCTTGTAGTGTTGGATTGTATCCTTCAATAGTCACAGTGGTACATTAAAAACCAATACAGTGTTCCCAACACCAATACAAGCATGACAAAATCCTTCAACATCATTGTAGGAGCATGGCATGGCTGCAATCTCTTTCATACCTTTTTTCTTTTCATTATTCATTTCATTGAGAGTGGGTGCAGGCTTTGTTATCTAATGGCAAAAACATCAAGTGATGGGCCTTGATTTCATAGGTGATGTGCCCTGCTGGCTGAAAAAATCATGCATTTTTCAAGCCACGGCCATTAGTCTAGACAGTAGCAGTGCCAAGGTTAGTCTACACACCAGCAACAAGACGACCGAGACCATGATTTATAAATTGCAACAAGGCCTTTACATCACCATCAGGCAACAGAACAGCAAGGGCAACTCCCACCTAGTGGCTCTAGACAGTGGGAATCTAATATCAACAACGGTGCCTAGAGGCTGTGACTCTGCCAGTCTAATGTCGCATTAACTGTAAAATCTACGCCAGCAAGATATGGAAGAGAACATCAAATGTTCCATATAAATTGGATGCCTTTCACCAGCACTGGGTCCCAAAAATCTTGGGTATCACATGAAATGGCAGCACTCACTAAGTCCAAATGGGGACAGCTCAGAAGTCCTACAGGACATTGTATGGCAACAGGAATGATGCTGGCAGGTCATGTCCTTTGCCGTACAGAAATACACCTTGTCAGAGTGGCAGCAGAGTGGACACCAGCAGGTGCAAGATGACAATGGGGCCTGCCAAAGAAGACCTAGTGGCGTACACTTAAGGAATACCTCGAAGAGCAGGTCACAGCCTGGGTTGGAGTGAAAGAGTTGTGACAGTCAATCAGGTTAATTGAAAAAGATTGTGTGCATCCCAAAAGCAGTCATATTTCTTTTACTTTTGTTTCCAATGAAATTGTATATATACTGTGCAAAAATAATACACATCATTTGCGAGAGTTGAGTGCGTGAGCGCTTCCCTGACAGGAAACCACTTTTTTTCTACATGCTCCACAGGTTTGATATGATCCTCCTTAATCCAATGTGTTTTCATTTATTCAACTAAATTGAAACCATAAAATATTGTTTATCCCCCTGCTTTGGCTCTTGCAATAAATCCTCTTACTGAGTGCAGCCTCCCAGTTTTCTTTTGTGAAACTTAAACTAGTCTAGAACTGTCATTTGTAATTCCAGCATTTTTAAGTGTTAGATCAGATGGTACAGATCTATACAGAGTGCAATCAATGCCAAATGTCTTGTTGTGAAATCAAATACAAGAGGCATGTGTATTATTTCAAAGGTAAAATAAAGTGGAAATGAGGGAAGGGAAAACAGAGGACATTCTGAGGCATAGCAAGAAACATTACAATAAGCATAAGATAGGCAGACTGGATTGAATCCACACAGCTATCAATTAATTTTCTATTACATTAAATTTTAAGAATCAAATTCTATTTTTTGCAGCTGCACAAACTGAGAAGCCACAAATTGGACAATAACAGTGCAATCAATTAATCACTATTTTGGGTAAGTAACACAGGCATCTGCATTGCAAAATTCTGATCAGCTTTTGTCAAAATAAAGAATTGAGGTTACTAAAATGGTGAGTTCTGTATTATAAGTATAGTTTTCTCTTCACAATTACAGATGAGTAATCATTTTTAGCTTTTTTTTTGATGCAAGTAGTAGAGTATGATAGTTACAGAGAAATGTCATCTCTGCATAGTGTTGGTCCTTGATGAAGTATTTTTGTGAAAATCATCATTATGGCTTTAAGCCAGTTTACCAATAAATAATGAATATGCCATTTCATGTTTAACAGAATTACAACGAGATGTACTAATTGCTTCATATTAGTTGGTAGCTGGATTCTTTTTATCCAAAGTGAAGTTATCATGTGAGATAACGCTGCTGGGAGCTCTCTTGCAATAAGACACACTAATGACCTAAATGAGCATAAATGAGCTGGAACACAGCACTGTCAGATCAACTTCTTAGATGTCATAATTTTCTCAGTGAGATACATTTAAGCATAACTGGAAATCTGGCAACCACAGTGAAGGTCCTTTTCACCCTATCCTTGTGAAAATGGAATACATCACTGGGAATAAGATTTCTATTGAAATGATTAAATTTTCAAGATATTGTATAGGGATTACAAACTGCACAACAAGAAGAGCCAAATTACACAATAATGGTTTTAGTCTACTCACCTCTCACATACTGAATTGAGTAAGCAGTACTATTAAATGTAAATAAAGCATTCTGCTTAATACTTCCTTGATTTTTTTCCCCATAGTTCTACAATTTAAATGTTTGGGTAGAATTTTATGACAAATAAGGAATTAAACCCTTTGTTGAAACAATCATGAAGTTACTCAGTAATGGGAGTGGGTTTTATGTTTGTGAAAGAATCTTACATTTGTTTTTGATACATTATTCACTAATTGTAAGAATTTTCACAATATGACATTTTTTAGTAGCTTCAATATAGAACACAGATATCATTGCTCATGTACAGACAATTGCAACAAATAAAAAGCCATACACAATTCAGCCCATGTCCAGAATTTCACCTGATGAAATCATACTGACTGGCATAAGATATTGAAGATTTAGTGTAATGCAGTAGGTGCTAGATAAAATACATTTCTAGGTAGACAAATGGAGAATTACATTGTGCAGACACAAAGGTAAATTTCACCTTGGAGAGCATAATGTTGACACCGGGTGCCATAAAGGGAAAACTGTGCTTTTCTCAATTTAATAAGACAGTCATTGAAATTAAATTGGAAAATCTTGATCAGTACAACGGTAGCAGGTTTACAGTCTGCATAAAATGAGAGCTCCAGAGGGGGCAAAGCCAGAATGTGGAAGAGTAGCAATGCAGAAAATTAGGCAGAAAATTTAATCAGATGCATTGCTGTTGAGGAAGGATATAAAAAAAGATGGCAGCCTCCCTGCATCACCAATTGGAGGGGAACACAGCATGAGTTACATAGTCTAGCAGGTCTTGAAAGAGAATGCCAGACACAATTACAACTCCATTAACTCACACTTAAAACACAATTATCTTTAAAAATTAGAATTTTTTTAAAATCATTTTTCCATTGAAAAGAACTCCAAATAAATTGCATTTTTAAGATCCAGACATTTTGAAAAATCTATACCTGTCCCATATTTTATTTACGGATTAACCAGCAACCTGTTACAGCCACAAGGAAGAAAGCTAAACTCCGCATTAGGCTTACAAATAAGGAGCATATTTGTGTAACTTGAGGACTCTGCACTGCATAAAATAACAGTTTAATAAACATTTCAACTCATGACACACACATAAAGATCTTATCTTTTGTACACCAAGGACAAACAAGAATAATTGATTCAGTTAGAGAGTCATACAGTAATATAGCATGGAAACAGGCCCTTCAGCACAAACTGGTCCATGCTGACCATGGTGCCCACTCCGCCAGTTATGAAGTAATCTCAAAGATCGTTTTGCTCAAAATGTCATATCAAACACACATTAGATTTGCTTATTATTTTGTCAATGCATATTCAAAAAACATATATAAGGAAAATAATAAACTGTATCCTTCTTGAATATGTTCATGAGGAACATAAAAATGCTTCCTTACCATCGTATGACTGGAGAAGCAATGGTTCAAGGAGTGCCATGTATTCTTTCACTTGTTCAGGCTTCTCTCGAAATACCCCTATAAAAGAAATTATCTTTAAGAATCAGTTCCAAAAATATGCTTACTCCCCCATATTTTTACCAACTTATCCTTTACTAAATGCTTATATTCTTTGCATATAATTCCATACTCTTTAAGCAATATTCAAAGATATATCAAACATTACCTATGACAACATCATGTTTATTGAATATTTTTATATAAGAAGACCTACTTTAAATAAAAACCTGCGTACAATGACAAGAATTTAATATTCCAAATTACTTGATATTTGACGGTGAAATTATCCATTTACAGTGAAAGGAGTAAACAAATGTATTATTGTAACTAATAAGGTTAGATTGATCTGAAAAACCAACAAAACATAATATTTTCCATGGCAACAACAGAATCATGTATGGATGCAAGTTCACAAAGCTTATGAGATTTGGATATATGAACAATTAGTTTAAAGCTCTTCCCTATCTAATAAATGCAATGGCAATATGAATGAAGGGCTCGCTGTCAAATCATGTCCATCATTCTGTTAACTATATTTCACACATCAATAGTCATATGAAATTAATAGTTAATAACTTAAGATAATTCCTAAGTTAAGACAGATGATCACATGATCAATTTCTACCAGAAAGAACCTTGAATAAAGATATGTTGAACAAGATACATTTGATAATCAAACAGCAACAATGAGACAAGTCAAAAGCTATAATAACACTTGACCTCCCACTTCTCTAACTTTGCACTATGTCTTTTGAATTTTATCTTTTATTCCCAATATCTGCAAGAAACCACAAGTCAACAATACCAAAGTCTAGACAGGATCAATACAGCAAAAGGTAGGAAAAAAACTGATGTCAACAAAATAAACAACACTCCAAAAGACAGTAGGTTGTACCACTTAAAAAGGCACTGGGATGAAATTGAGGAAATGGATAGCAATTGTTAAGAGCTGTGATCACACTTTGCAGCGATAACAGATGGTGATTAGAACAATGCAGTTATGCTGCATATGTGGACTTTCAAAAGCTATTTGATAAAGTATCATCTAGTAAGCTTATTAATAAAACTGAAGCTTTTTTAAAAAAAAAGCAGCACAGCAGCATGAAACTAAAATGTATATCAGAAGCATGTATATTGGAATTCCATCAACGAACACAGCGAACTGGACTAAACCACTGAAAAACAGAACCGGAAGTAATGCCAACCATCCCTGCAAACCGAGGCATATAAATAACAAGCAGGACAGAACACCAACGCTTCACCGGAGGAGGACCGATGACGTTACCTATCAGGGTGACAAAACATCTGCAACTAAATACACCGGCTTGGCGAGCAAGTCTACAACCTCAGCTATATCTAGCTGCCTCGTGAATACATTCAATGTTTTGGCATTAACTACTTCCTGTGGTAATGAATTCCACAGGCTCACCACTCTTTGGGTGAAGAAATGTCTCCTCAATTCCGTCCTAAATCGTCTACCCCAAATCCTCAGACTATGACCCCTGGTTCTGGACACACCTACCATTGGGAACATCCTCCCTGCTCCTACCTTGTCTAGTCCTTTTAGAATTTTATAAGTTTCTATGAGATTCCCCTCATTCGTCTGAACTCCAGCAAAAACAATTCTAACCTTGCCAATCTCTCCTCATATGTCAGTCCCGCCATCCCCAGAATCAGCCTGGTAAACCTTTACTGTACTCCCTTGAGAGCGAGAGCATCCTTCTTCAGAAAAGGAGACCAAAATTGCACACAACATTCTCGGGGTGGCCTCACCAAGGCCCTGTACAACTGCAACAACACATCCCTGTTCCTGTACTCGAAACTTCTCGCAATGAACGCCAACATAACATTTGTCTTCTTTACCAACTGCATGCTTACCTTCGGCGACTGGTGCACAAGGACACCCAGGTCCCACTGAACACTCCCCTCTCCCAATTTACAGTCATTCAGGTTGTAACCTGCTTCTTGTTTTTGCTTCCAAAGTGAATAACCTCACATTTATCCAAATTATACTGCATTTGCCAGTGATTTGCCCACTCACCCAACCTGTTGAGATCATGCTGAAGGATCTCTGTACCCTCATCACAGTTCACCCTCCTACCCAACTTGGTATCATCTGCAAACTAGGAGATGTTACATTTTGTTCCCTCATCCAAATCATTAACATATATTGTGAATAGCTGGGGTCCCAGCACCAGTTCCTATGGCACCCCAGTAGTTACTGCCTGTCAATTTGAGAAGGACCCATTAATTCCTACTCTTTGTTTCCTCTCTGCCAACCAGTTTTCTATCCATACCATCATATCCTCAGCTCCAGGATACAGCACACATGCAAAAATGTTGCTAAAGTTACTGAGCCTCCTTGGGGTCTGGCTAGGTCTATTGGCTGAATAACTGTGTGAAGCAGGTTGCTGCCTCAAGCATGAGGTTCAATTCCTGTTCCTGTTGGACTAGAGTTGAGACCTCCCTCCTTGCTCCACCCATGGTGGAAATGTTGAAGCTGTGGGTTGGAATTGCCTTCAGACAAAGAGCTCAAGAAGAAGGATTGCCCTTGAAACATTTTGGTAGAAAGAATAAAACAGGACCATGCATATAATTTTAAAGGGTTAAAAGAGCAAAAGAAACCCTGGGGATGTGGTGACAAACATTAAAGGCAATAAGGCAGGGAAACAAATCAGTCAATAAAACATATGGGTTTCTGTGCTTTATAAATAGAGACATGGAATACAGAAACTTGAAGGTTTTACTAAATCCACTAGCTTATCTGCAGCTGGAGTATTGTGCTCAATTCTACACATTATACTTTAGAAAGGATTTGAAGAGTTTTAAAAGATGTATGGAAAAGATTTACTAGAATAGTCCAGGTATGGCACATTATACTTATTCAACTAAACTGGAAAGAAAATAGGATTGCTCTACTTAGAGTAGAGAGGCAATTAAGAGATTTAACAGACATATTAAAAATCATGAAGCGTTTGCATAGACTATATAAAGATAAACTATTTCTAAGGATTGATAATAAGATGGCAACAATTTACAGTGAGCTGCAAAAGAACCAGAGGTGACACGGCTGAAATCTTTTTTACACAACAAATAGTTAGGATTTGAAACTGCCTGACAGTGTTGTGAATACAAATTCGAAACGAAGTTCGATAAACCAAGGACAAAATGTTGCTGGGAGAAGAGGAAACAGCCAAGGAGTGAGACTAATCAGATTGTTCATCAACAGAATCTGTGCAGTCTCAGTGGGTTAAATGGCCTCGATCTTTACTATAATAACTTCTAAGGCAAAAGGAAATTCCTCAGTTTTGAATTTACCAACACTATTTATTAATTTGACCCACAGATTTTACTATGGCAAATTATTAGTTTGTTTGTATTGTCACGTTGTGATACACATGTTCACCAGTGCATGTGGAATGCTAACTAAACACTACAACTTATTTTTACAGTCTCTTTATTGTGGCAATAATGGCTGTTAAATATAGATATCTGCAGGAATTTGGTAGCAAGTGTACACACAGATCATATCAGTTTATAATCAAAGCATTCAGTTTGAGGATATTTTATGCTGCTCTGTCATGTAGCCTAGCAGCTATGGTAGTAAACTAGTCACAAGTTCAGATCCCACCATATGAACCTGACAAATGATTTTAAAATCAAACTGATTTACTGAGGTTGTTCAGAAACAGGAACCTGCAACGCCTATACCATCACTGAGATACCATCACTCTTTATACGTGGTTAACTTTAATACTCTTTCAAGTGACACAACAAATTACCAAACTACACATAAGGTTATAAGATGAGCAACAATCTAATTATATTGGAGTTACAAGCAGTGACTCAGGCATCAGATTAAGATAATCGCAGCACAGTCGATTCTGCATTAGTTCACTGGATCAACTGAAGCACATGCTGAAAAAGCTGTCCCACAGGAATAAATAAGAAACAATTCAAAGAAATCATTTCAGCAGGCAAAATCAGATGAGTGTAACTCCAAACCCTATGAAATCTCAAACAAAGATATGGCTAACTGGTTAGAAAATGAACAATAACAAGCTGATATCGGTGGTAAGTTATGAAGTACCTCATCCAGAGGTACTTGTGCTCTTGTTTCATGCAGAATCTTATCTCAGTTGAATTCAACGTGAAACAGTACTGATCTGTTAAAACAGCTCTGAGGAAGGGTCACCGGAACCAAAACGTTAACTCTATTTTTTCTTTCACAGATGCTGCCATACCTGCTGAGCTTTTCCCGCAACTTTGTTTTAGTACTGATCTGTTATTTGAGGAAGGAATGGTATGTGATGATAAGCACCTTTAACAGAATCTGGACAACATCCAGGGATAGGTTGGCAAATTGCAGACTAAAATGTTAAGCAATGATCATTGCCAAGAAAAGAAGCGCCAGTCACCTCCGCTTGGCCTTCAAGTCCTTGAATTCTCTAACTAATGCAATTATATTGGATGACAATGATTCTAAGAACAGCAGTATTTTGTGTACGTGGTGTAACTTGGAAAGATGTCACCATATAGAACATAGAACAGTACAGCACAATACAGGGCCTTTGGCCCATGATGTTGTGCCAACCAATTATCCTACTGTGAGATCAAACTAAGCTGCATACCCTTCACTTTACTATCATCCATGTGCCTATCCAAGAGTTGCTTAATGTCCCTAATATATCTGATTTTACTACCACCGTTGGTGGTGCATTCCATGCACCCACCACTCTCTGTGTGAAGAACCTACCTCTGACATCTCCCCTATACCTCCCTCCAATAACCTTAAAATTATGCCCCCTCGTAAAGTCATTTTTGCCCTGGGAAAAAGTCTCTGATTATCCACTCTATCTATGCCTCTCATCATCTTGTAAACCTCTACTAAATCACTTCTTATCCTTCTTCACTCCAATGAGAAAAGCCCTAGCTCCCTCAACCTTTCCTCATATAACTTGCCTTCCAGTCCAGGTAGCCTCCAGGTAAATCTCCTCTGCACCATCTCTAAAGCTTCCACATCCTTCCTATAATGAGACAACCAGAACTGAACACAATATTCCAAGTGTGAAAGAGCTGCAGCATAACCTCGTGGCTCTTAAACTTAATCCCCTGCCAGTGAAAGCCAACAGACCATATATGTCTTCTTTACAACCCTATCAACTTGGGTGGCAACTTTGAGGGATCTACGGACGTGGACCCCAAGATCCCTCTGTTCCTCCACATTGCCAAGAATCCTGCCATTAACCCTGTATTCTGCATTCAAATTCGACGTTCCAAAATGAATCACTTCATTCTTTTCCTGGTTGAATTCCATCTGCCACTTCTTTGCCCAGCTCTGCATCCTATCTTGAGAAATATATAAAAATAAATGCTTATTGTCATTTCAGTTGTCACGAAAGCATCCATAAGCCATTATTAGATTACTCAAACAAAATGAACAGATCTATTTACCCCAAATATTAATGATTAATACAGAACCACAGATTGTCACACACAAAAAGTTAGCATCTGGCCTGTTAGGTCCATGCTGGTTTTGAAATGCAACCCACTTTGTCTCAATCCCTGTTCTTTTCTTATACCCTTCAAGGGTTTATTCAACTCCTTTATGAAGGCAGGTGCTGAATCTATATCCAAACTTTCAAAGTCAATGGAAATGAAAAGTGAGAAAATGCATAATGGCAGTTGAATCATTAACATTCTCTTTACACTATAAATCAGAGCTAAAACTGCATTTGAAAACACTGGAAATAATCAATTTGACTTGTTAATTCCAAATTTCAACATTGCTATGTTCCTTGCATAGTAAAGCCAGTAATCTAATGTAAATGACATATTTCTGGTCAAACATGAATCAAAAAGTGACAGGTTTCAGATGGTAAAGCAAGAACTGTTTTTCCAAACAAAATAAATTTCAAGCTCTACTCACCGTCAATGATCAAATAAATATAAAACAAAGGAAATTCACATTCAATGCCATCGAACAGCTAGAAAAGAAAGAAAGAAAAAACAATATTTTCAGTTAATGAAATGTTACAAACATGAGGTTGATAAGATAACGATGTTTGGGACTGCGTCTAATTTAGGGTAAATCGAAGACGGTCATGTAACCTATTCTGAAGTTTGCGTGAGGGGCCTGTTGAAGATTAAAGGGAAGCCCAGCCTTGCTTTGCTGGAAGAAAGTGTCAGGTGTTCAGTCCTGAAAACAATGGCAACAAAGTGTTTACAGTAGTTAGACTAGTAGTCTGCAAAGTCCCAAGAAGGTGTTGAGAATGTCAGTTTGTAATCAGTTATGCTTTAAAATGTCCATTTAATTTCACAATAGAATAACACTGGGGGCTAAAGACAAGCTCATTTGTATATTTACCTTACTGCAAAGCCAATATGATTTACACTGTCATGGAGACAGGCAGTGGGAGCGTTAGTATTTTCCTGAAACTATCAGTCAAGTAATCTACCAGAGAGAGGGAGCAGCTGATGACTGAAAGTCTCTATAGTTCACTGCACAGGAATACTGGTATGAATTCAAGCTTGGGTAAAAAGACCAAATTTGTTAAGATTTGAAATGAGGCTTAAAAATTCACCTGGCTTTGAGAGACACAGAATCTCCAAGCAGAAAACTCAATTAAAGTTCTGGGTTGAAAGGTTCACAGACTGGGAAAGGAAAGGAATGGATGTAATCTGTTGGGAATTAAAAAAAAATACTTTGGGCTTGGTCTGGGAAAACTGAACGATTACTTGAGGGATTGTGTAAACAATGTCAGCCATGACCCTATTGAATCACTGAACAGGTTCGAAGGGTTGAGCAGCCTACTCCTGTTCCTACGTTTTATGGCCCATCACCTTGAAGCTTGTGTTAAAAGAAATGGGTAAGTTCTGTTCAGCAGTTTAAAGTTCTCTTTGAACAAAGTTGAGTGAATTTGAAAATCCATGGCAGATGAGGTATAACGTGGATAAATGTGAGGATTTCCATTTTGGTAACAAAAACAGGAAAGCAGATTAATATCCGAGTGCCAATAGGTTGGGAAAGGAGAAGGTGCAATGAAACCTGGGCGTCCTTAAACAACAAGCACTGAAAGAATACAGGTCAGGAGGCAGTGAAGAAAGCAATGGTATGTTTGCCTTCATAGAGAGAGGATTTGACTATAGAGTGGTGATGTCCTGCTGCAATTGTACAGGACCTTGGGGGAGACCATACCTGGAGTACTGCTTGCAGTTTTGGTCTCCTTATCCAAGGAGGAACATTCGGGCTACGGTGGAAGTGCAACAAAGGTTTACCAGACTGATTCCTGGGATGGCAGAACTGATGTATGAAGGATGTATGTACTGGATAGGTTCAGACTACTTTTGTTGTAGTTTAGAATAATAAGGTGGGGCAGGGGGATATCTCACGGAAACCTATAAAATTCTAAAGAACTAGACAGAGTATATGCAAGAAGGATGTTACTAATGACTGGGGAGTGCAGAACCAAGAATCATAAGACCATAAGACATAGGAGCAGAAGTTAGGCCATTCGGCCCATCGAGTCTGCTCCACCATTCAATTATGGCTGATAAGTTCCTCAACCCCATTCTCCTGCTTTCTCCCCGTAAACCTTGATCCCCTTGATAATCAAGAACCCATCTATCTCAGTCTTACATGTACTCAATGACCTGGCCTCTACAGCCTTCTGTGGCAGTGAATTCCGTAGATTCATCACTCTCTGTCTGAAGAAGTTTCTCCTTATCTCCGTTCTAAAAGGTCTTCCCTTTACTCTAAAGCTGTGCCCTCGGGTCCTAGTCTTTCCTACCAATGGAAGCATCTTCCCAACATCCACTCTGTCCAGGCCATTCAGTATTCTGTAAGTTTCAATTAGATTCGCCCTCATTCTCCTAAACTCCAATGAGTATAGTCCCAGAGTCCTCATACGTTAAGCCTTCCATTCCTGGGACCATTCGCGTGACCTCCTCTGAACCCACTCCTGGGCCAATACATCCTTCCCGAGATATGGGGCCCAAATCACAGTCTAAGGATACAGGGTAGGCCACTTAAGAGAGAAATTAAGAGAAATGTCTTCACCCAGAGTGGTGAGCCTGTAGAATTCTCTGCCACAGAAAGCAGTTGAGGCCAAAACTTTGAATGTTTACCAAGAGTTAGATATAATTCTTAAAGCTAAAGGGATCAAAGGGTATGGGAAGACAGCAGGAACACGGTAGTGAGTTGGATGATGGGCCATGATCATATTCAATGGTGGAGCAGGCTTGAAAGGCCTAATGGCCCACTCCTGTTTATAATTTCTGTATTTCTAAGTACAATTTTCTTACATAAATTGTATTTAGTCAGTGTGCTTTTAATCTGTTTGTTACAGCAAGTCTTAAAATGTGACCTCTTGCTCTTGCTGGGTCATCCTTTCAGCTATTAAAGGAAAGCTCGAACATCTTTACTTAAAGTTATTTGTCTCCACAGGGATCAGAATAAATGTTGCTGATGTTTTCTTTTATGAGGACATGGTTATAGCTTAAGTAAAAACTGCTGATTATGATAAAGCTGCTATTAGACCTTAAAGTTTATCTTCTACAACTTGAAATCAAGTCAGCCAATTCAAATCACTAGGATAGGAGAAAAATACATTTTTATAAAATACCCATTGTAATAAAGCAATGATACAAAGGTTCAGTAACAGAAGAGATCAGCTGATCCATCACAGCTCTAACAACCAATGACTGTTCCTATGTTTAATATAGCTAGGGTCATTTTTGTGCAAGGTTAGAACCGATACTATAATAACTGTATTTACATGTATTTGTTTGAAAAACAAGAATTGTGCAAAAAAAAATTACCTATTGCTAGTGGTTTACATTTAAATCTACATTTTATTTACCCATATGATTAATGGCTGAATAACATGAATACCTCTGTGAAGTTTTCTCACCTTAGTTAGCAATTATCCAAAATAATTGAGATTCTAATAAGAAAATTCAATCATGAGTCATTTCATACAAATGTTTCTTAGTTGTTTGGTAGTACAGAACCTGAGAATTGCTGATAAAATATATATACTCCTGAAGCTTATTGTCTTTCCCTCATGAGGTCAGCTGCAAGAACACCATTGTAAAAGGGAACAATATTTTACATTGCGTGAAAGAGAGCATTATTGGTCAGCAGTGAGTTCTTATTGGTGGAAGAACTGCCATGGAGATTGCACCAGTTGGATGTTTGGCAGTTAACCAGCAAGCTTTGTTTAAATTTGAACCAAGCAGGCCAACTCTGATTAGCCCAAGCAAAGTTCTATGGAATGAACCAGAGAATGATTTTTGCCTATTCTGTTAACTGGCAACAGATGCAATCTTATATTCATAGAACAGAACACGGTGCATGAATATGGGTAATTTCCACTACATTTAAGCGAGCCATACTTTGGCAATTTAAATTGCTTGTCAGGGGCAACACAGCGGATCAGTGGTTAGCAATGCTGCCCCACAGTGCCTCACAGCCAGGGGAACATGTTCAATTCCAGGCTGGGTCTATGGAGGGTTTGCATGTTCTCCCCATGTCTGCGTGGCTTTCCACTGGGATGCTCCACTTTCCTCTGACAGTCACAAAGATGTGCAGGTTAGGCGGATTGGTCATGCTAAATTGCCCATATTGTGGCCAGGAATATGTAGGCGAGGTGGGTTAGCCATGGAAAATACAAGGTTACAGGGATAGGGTGGGATGTTCTTCAGAGGGTCAGTGTGGACTCAATGGGCCGAATGGTCTGCTTCCACACTGTAGAGATTCTTTAAAAATGCATACAGAGAATTATTTAGCAATTTTGTCCAATTGCAGAATCATACCTAATGTTAGACATATGTTGAATTTTGCAAGCTTAACCTGTTGGGTATGGTCGTTGCAAACAGCTGAAAAATATGCTGTCCGACATAATCCAGGTTTTGGGACACACAACGTATGGCTAGCATACCTCGCATAACACTGGCACTAAAATTCTTGTACTATATTTCTCATTTGAGTGAAGAGCCGAATGTCTTTTTGGCTTAATGGCAGCATCTTGTTAGTGGCAAACACCATTTGTGTTACCACTGCATAGTAAAAGAACGAAACAGCTAGCTTCACCTGTTGCTCAAAGCTTTGAAATGCCCTAGTCTTCCAGGGAAATCTGAGGTAGACTGGATACTTTTTATTCTGAGTTATTCATTTGCCCACTGGCTATCTGGATGTATTAACTTTCTGGAATTCCCACTTCAAGACCAGCAACATGCAAATTGCAACAGCATTTATGCTCTAACCCTGTACATTAAGCTAGCTGATGAAGACAGGTTCTACACAGATCTCTGTGAACTCATCTTGAATGTCATCCCCAAGGACAAAATTATCATCCTTGGCAATTTCAGTGATAGAGTTGTCTATGACAGCCATCTATGGAAGGGAGCACTCAGAAACCAAGAGTTTGGAAACTGCATTACTTATAACTTTGTGCAGAAAAGCAGCTGTCGAAAGCCAACATCTTTCTTTACAAAAAGATCATTTCAAGATCACATGGGCACATCACTGCTCCAAATACTGGCACCTGATAGATTACTCTCGGTGCACCAGTGTGCCATAATGACATCCTGCGCATGAGAATCAGGCCCAGTCTAACTGTAATGTAGACCCATCAACTTGTTCACTCAAAGGTAAAATTCCGTTTTAAGGCTAAGCCCAAGAACAAGCTTAGCCCCAACTTCTATAAAGAAATTTTGAGTTAGCAACAGCAAACCTCATAGACCAAAGCAGAGATAGAAACTTTAGCCTCCAAACACCTCAGTAGATAGATGAAGTCTGAAGTAGAAAGGCTGCTTAAAATACATGCTCACCAATTTAGGGTTTGCAAATAGTCATTTGGCAGTACAGAAATTGAGTCTTGAACTTTTCAAAACAATTTGCAAGAAAATCAATGTAAAGGGAAACACATTTTTTAATAAGTGAGAAAAATGTGCTGACTGGTTGGCAAATGAGCTCAGATTGGGACAGTTGGTATCATACAGAATGCATCAATTAGACCCAAGACTGAGTTAACTTCCAAGCTTTGCTCAAATATAAACCAATCAGGTTGTCTCTGAATGGTCAAGACAATGTCCTGAGGAATGAATCAGAGAATAGCTGATCCTGTTTTGTTAAATTTAAACAAGTGCAAAGTATGTACATGTTCTTCCTGTCCATAAAAAATAGGTCCCAATGTATTTTATATATGTAACTTCCAGAGTGCACAGATGTGTCATACTATGAGCCTGATTGATTATTTCAGATTGGTTGCCAGCGTAATTTGTAACACACTTGCAATTACTTTACAAAAAATTTCCAATTGCAGAATATCATCTAATGTTCAAGACTGTGCTTTGAGTTTTACAAGCATGACATGGATGGACATGATCAGTCCCTTGCCTATTGTGAACAATTGAAGGGACATGTTGTTTGATATGGTCCATCCAACAGTCTTTGGTGCATACCGCCTACACACCTAACATTACAACAACATTGAAATTCATATACCATATTACTTATCTGCATGTAAGGCATAGTGTCTTTTTAGGTTTATAGCAGCAGCTGTTACTGATGAACATCACCTGTGTTGCTACTGCATAGTAGCAACGTGAAACAGCCAGTTTTATCTGTTGCTCAAATTTTTGAGACACCTTATCAGAGGTAAACTGGGCATTTTCGAGAGCTGAAAATAGACCCTTGGGCTCATTCATGAGTCTGTGCGATATGCTCTGACCTGGGTAGCCATTATAGAGTCATATAGCATAGAAACTGACCGTTTGATCCAACTCATCTGCACTGACCAGATGTCCTAAATTAATCTAGTCCCATATGCTAGTATTTGGCCCATATCCCCCTAAACCCTTTCTATTCACGTACCCAACCAGATGCCTTTTAAATGTTGCAATTGTACCTGCTTCCACCACACCCTCTGGAAGCTTGTTCCATACATACACCACCCTCTGTTTGAAAAAGTTGCCCTTCAGCTCCCTTTTAAATCTATCCCCTCTCACTTTTAAAACTACATCCTCTAATTTTGGACTCCTCCACCCTCCACCGCCCCCCCCCCCCCCCCCCCACCCCCAGGGGAAAAAAAGACCTTGGCTATTCATCCTATCCATGCCCCTCATGATTTTATGAACCTCTACAAAGGTCACCCCTCCGTCTCGACACTCCAGGCATAAAAGCCCCATCCTATTCAGCTTCTCCCTATAGCTCAAACCCTCCAATCTCAGCAACATTTTGTAAATCTTTTCTGAACCCTTTCAAGTTTAACACAGTGGTGACCTTATAGAAGGTTACAAAATCATGAGGGATACAGATAAGATGAATGGCAAATGTCTTTTGCCTGAGGTGGAGGATATCAAGACTAGGGGGCATATTTTTAAGGTGAGAGGAGGAAGATTTAAAAAGAGGGTTTGAGCTATCAGGAGAGGCTGAATAGGATGGGGCTTTTATCCCTGGAGTGTCAGAGACTGAGGAGTGACCTTCAAAGAGGTTTATAAATTCATGAGAGGGAATTTTTTTTAAACACAGAATGGTTCTTGCGTGGAGAATGAACTTCCAGAGGAAGTGGTGGATACCAGTACGGTTAAAACATTTAAAAGAATATTTGGATAAGTATATGAATAAGGAATGTTTGGAGGAACAGGGGCCAAGTGCAAGCCGGTGGGACTAGATTAGTTTGGGATTATGGTTGTCATGGACTGGTTGGACTGAAGGGTCTGTTTCCATGCTGTACAACTCTATGACTCTATAATATCTTTCCTCGAGCAGAAAGACCAGAATTGAGCACAATATTCATACAGCTGCAACATGATGTCTCAATTCCTAATCTCAATGCACTGACCAATAAGGGCAAGCGTGCCAAATGCCTTCTTCACCACCCTGTCTACCTGCAACTCCACTTTCAAGGAATATGTATCTGCACTCCTAGGTCTCTCTGTTCGGCAGCACTCCCCAGGGTCCTACCATTTGCTGTATAAGTCCTGCCCTGGTTTGCCTTACCAAATTGCAAAACCTCACATTTATCTAAATTAAACTTCATCTGCCAGTCCTCGGCCATTGGTCCATCTGATCAAGATCCTGTTGTACACTCCACCACTTACTTTATCTGATAGAATGGCTTCGATACACTCTATTTAAACATCAAGCTTACACAGTGAACAAGGAGCTTGGGCCCCATTAATGAGGTTGTTGATGTGGCTATTCTTATTGCGCATGAAACTGTAGGAATCCCAATGCATATATTGATCAGTGAACGTAGGCTTGCAACAGCCAGTAGGAAAGAACGCATTTGAAGATTTCTCAACCAGTTTGTCAAGGAAAGAAAAGGAAACTTGTTATTGTTCCCCTCTATTTTGATATTCTTGTGAATTGTCCTGTTCAGTGCCAGATGCAATGCTTCAACAAAACAGACTTTTCTTTTAGTAATACTTAAATGACTTTTTAAAAATATAACTCGGCAAAATTGCATTTCTTAGAATACTTTAGGGAAATGACAACTTATCCCAAGTACCTTGATTTCTGCCGGTTTATAGTAACGCCGTGAATGATCCTCCAATCCTGTCCTGTATCCATCTCTTAAGAAGCGTTTCAATCCATATCTTCCTTTCAGTTTACGAACAACTTTCTCAATTGTTTGATCAAACAATGCATCATCATCCACTGCAAATGCAGGATAACTAATACACGGTAGTAGAGCAGCATCTGTATTCTGGAAAAATATTACAGGATATAATTAAACATTTTATTTGTTTGCCCAGCAGCAATATACTCTACTTGATTCAAAATGACAAACGACATATTAAAGGTCATAAATGTATATGTAATTACTCATTCAAATGACAAACTATACTTCCTCAAATGACAAACTATACTTCCTCAAAAACTTGCTCACTTGAGACGAGTGGATAAAGAGAGTTTTAGATTAAGTGTAAATTTGAAACGAAATTATAACTCTTGAGAAATTAAATTTATGAATTGACATTTAAGTTGTGAATTACTATATAAATGTTGTCAATTAGATTTTAGAATAAGCAGTCAAACAATTTAATTTGAAATCCTAAGTTTAAAACATCTTTTTCTATTTCTCACTGATTTAGTAGCTTGCTCAATTCACCACTATTTCTATGTGATCCTAGACATAAAGTGTCAGCACATCTCTTGACTGCTGGTAACATTTCAGTCAAACTGGATTCAGTACTCAGCTGTGATTTATTCATGAACAGATGTTAGTGGAGAGTGATCACAGATCATACAGCACGGAAACAGACCCTTCGGTCCAACTTGTCCACACTGACCAAAAATCCCAATCAGAGCTAGTCCCATTTGCCAATATTTGGCCTACATCTCTCTAAACCCTTACAATTCATATACTCATCCAAATGTCTTTTAAATGTTGTAATTATACCCACCTCCACCATCACCTCTGACAGCTTGTTCCATACACATACGACCCTCTTGTGCGAAAGAGCTATCCTTCAGGTCCTTTTTAAATCTTTCTCCTCTCAACTTAAACCTGTGCCTGCTAGTTTTAGGTTCCCCCCACCCTACAAAAAAAGACTTTGGCTATTCACCCTATCCATACCCCTCATGATTTTATAAACCTCTATAAAGTCACCCCTTAGCCTCCAATTCTCCAGGGAAGAAAGCTCCAGTCTATTCAGTTTCTCCCTATAACTCAAATTCTCCAGTCCCATCAACATACATGTAAATCTTTACTGCACCCCCTCAAGTTTAACAATATCCTTGCTATAGCAGGGCCACCAGAATTGTATGCAGTATTCTAAAAGTGGCCTCATCGATGTCCCATACAGCTGCAACATGACATCCCAACTCCTATATTCAATGAAGGCAAGCATGCCAAATGCCTTCTTCACCACTGTCTACCATGACTCCACTTTCAAGGAGCCATGCACCTGCACCCCTTGGTCTCTTTGTTCGGCAACACTCCCAGGGCCCTACCATTAACTGTAAAAGTCTTGCCCTGCTTTGCCTTTCAAAAATGCAACATCACACATTTATCTAAATTAAACTCCATTTGCCACTCCTTGGCCCACTGGGCCATCTGATCAAAGTGCTTTGTACTCGAAATAATCTTCTTCACGGTCTACTACACCACCTATTTTGGTGTCATCTGCAAACTTATTAACTATATCTCCTATATTTACATCCAAGTCATTTTATATAAATGCTGAAAAACGGTGGATCCAGCACCAACCTTTCTGGCACACCACTTGTCATGGGCGTCCAGTCCAAAAAGCAACCCTCTACCACTACCTTCTGCCTCCTATGTTCAAGCTAATTTTGAATCCAATTGGCTAGTTCCCCCTGAATCCCATGTCATCTAATCTTATTAACCAGTCTACCATGCAGAACCTTGTTGAACGGTTTGCTAAAGTCCATGTGGACAACGTCTATCTCTCTGCCTTCATCAATCTTCTTTGTCATCGCTTGTAAAAACTCAATCAAGTTAGTGAGACATGATTTCCCACACACAAAGCCATGTTGATTATTCCTAATCAGTCCCTGCCTTTCCAAATGCATGGAAATCCTGTCGGTAGGAATCACCTCCAACAACTTACCCACCACTGACATAAGGCTCACCAGTTTGTAGTTCCCTGACTTTTCCTTACAGCCTTTAGGACACAGAATAGCACAGCACAGCACAGAAGCGGGTCCTTCGGCCCACAATGTTGTGCCGAACATGATGACAAATTAAACTAACTCCTCTGCCTGCCCTTGGTCCATATCCCTCCATTCCTTGCATATTCATGTGCTTATCTTAAAGCCCCTTAAATGCTTCTAACATAACTGCCTCCACCACTATCCCTGGAAGCATGTTCCAGACCCCTACTGCTCTCTTTGTGAAAAAAAACATGCCCTTCACAACTCCTTTGAACTTTCTCTCTCTTCTTAAATAATGGCACCACATTCGCCAACCTCCAGTCTTCTGGCACCTCATTAGTGACTGTCAATGATACAAATATTTCACCAAGAGCCCAGCAATCTCTGCCCTAGCTTCCCAAAAAGTTCTGGGGAATGCCTGATCAGGTCCTGGGATTTATCTACCTTTATGCGTTTTAAGACATCCAGCACCTCCTCTTCTGTTATGTGAACTCTTTTCAAAACATCACTATTTATTTCCACAAGTTCCCTAGTTTGGGTTTGATATCTGAATTTGATTTATTATTGTCATATGTACCGAGATATAGTAAAAAGTCTTGTTTGTGTGCTAAACAGGGAGATCATAACATACAAAGGGCACCAAAGGAGCAGAACAGAGCGCACAATATAACGTTATAGCCGCAGAGAAGATGTAGAGAAAGAGATCAAAATTAACATTCAAAATCATAACAGAGGGGAAGAAGCTGTTCTTCCATGTCTTTGTCTACAGTAAATACCGGCACAAAATATTCATTTAGAATCTCACTCATCTTCTGTGGTTCCGAAGTCAGCTACATTGATCGTTAAGGGGCCCTATTCTCTCCCTAGTTACTCTTTTGCCCTTAATGTACTTATAGAATCTCTTTCGATTCTCCGTAACTCTATTTGCCAAAGATATCTCATGTCCCCTTTTTGCCCTCCTGATTTCCCCCTTAAGTATAATCCTACTATCATTATACTCCTCTAGGGATTCACTTGATCCCAGTTGTCTATACCTGATATATTCCTCCATCTTTTTTCTGACCAGAGCCTCAATTTCGCTAGTCATTCAGCATTCCCTACACCTACCAGCCTTGGCCTTCACACTAACAGGAACGTACTGTCTCTGATCTCTCATTATCTCATTTTAAAAGCCTCCTACTTCCCAACTGCCCCATTACCTGTAAATAGGCTCCCCCAATCAACTTTTGAAAGTTCCTGTCCAAAACCGTCAAAATTGGCCTTACCCAATTTAGAACTTTAACTTTTTGATCAGCTCTATCCTTTTCCATAACTATTTTAAAACCAATAGAATTATTATTGCTTGCCCCAAAGTGCTCCCCTACTGACAGCACAGTCATTTGTCCCGCCTTATTTACAAAAAGGTCAAGTACAGCTCCTTCTGTAGTATGTGCATCCACATACTGAATAAGAAAGTTTAATGTTTTTGAGAAGATTTGTAGCTCGTGGTTGCGGTTGTAGATTTGCTTACTGAGCCGGCGTGTTTGGTTGCAGACGTTTCGTCACCCTGCTAGATAACATCATCAGTGCGCCTCCGGTGAAGCATTGGTGCTCTGTCCCACTTGTTATTTATATGACTCAGTTTGCATTACTTCCGGTTTGCTTTTCCCCCGGTACTCCCCATGTCTGTACTCCCCTCATCTACATCATTGATGTAAGTTGCAAATGGTTGAGGTCCCAGCACAAATGTCTGTGAGGCTTTCACCTCATTTTCAAACACTAGCGGAACCTGACAGACATTTTTAAAGTTCTGTGGATTTATAATGTCAGTTTCATAGTTTCTCAGCAATTGCAAGTAATATGACCATAATACTAGCTCAGTCATGTTTCTAAGGCTGCATACAAACACCTATTAATGTAGATGATAAGGATCAATTATTAGAATCACTGTATACATCTGTAAGCAAATATTCTGTACTTTGGTGCCTTCCCAAACTATTTTCCATTGAAAATTGACATGACCCTAGTCTCGAGCTGATATAAAACAGCAGTACAACAGTATAGCAAAATTCAGTATATAATTATTCGTTTGTGCATCACAGGCCAATATATAAGACAACACAAATAGGAAAATCTATGTGTGGAGATGTGGCTCACAGGTTATGAAGTGCTGCTCTACACTGTCTGCAATGTAGTGTTTCCTCCAGCATGATTGGCCATTTGGATATAATGTCAGGTCAGCCTGATCACCATCATTTAAGGAACTTGATACTTAATGAATCAATGATTAACTGGGAAGCATCAATATTAGTGAACAGCTTTAAATGTATTTTGCCTTCTGGAAGATATGAACTAATGAATGAAGGATCAGGGATGTAGATTATACCATGGGAATCAAACCTTATTTGCTTCTTGATGAGAATATCTGATTTCATAACTCCTTTAGAAAATAACTTTCAGATAAAGAATTGAATTGTAAAAGTAAATAAATGGAAACCCCTGGTTGAGAAACTGGCATATAGATCTTGGCACTTACGTACGTGCTTACTTAGAAGAGTCACCAGTGTTTATTACATAAGTTGTAGTTACAAGTGAGAATACTTAAACAGTGCCAAAGCCACAATGAGCTTTTAGTAGGGACAGGGAGATCTATATTTGTTTCAATAAGTAATTTTAATTATGAATTTCATTGCTCATCCATCTTCAGCAGTCCCATCAATGAATTTTCCTCCAACATATTGTTAGAAAAAGGGATGATCACTGGTGATTGCACAATACTTAGTACCATTTGTAATTTCTCAGATATTAAGCAGTCCAAGTCCATGTAAAGCAAGACCTAAGCAACATTTAGAATTTGGCAAGTAACACCAATGCCACACAAGTGTTAGGGAATGACTAAGTGATATTGTAACTATTTTCTCTTCATATTCAATGCCATTATCATCACTGAATCTCCCAGCTTCACAATCTTGAGAGTTACCTATTGACCAGAAACTGAATTGAATCAAAGATATAAATACCGTGTTACAAGAGCAGGTCCAAAGCTAGAATGACTGCAATTCAAACAACATTCGAAAAGCTCAAGTCCATCCACTACAAAATAGTCCACTCGATCAGTACTCCGTCCATCATCTTCAACATTCACACTGATAGCGTCGTGTGCAACCTACAAAATGCACTGCAGTAATTCATCAAAGTTCCTTTACAGAACCTTCCAAACCCTGAAGCTCTCTCGCCGGGAACAATCAAGATAGCAGGTGCAAGGGAATGCAGCAATCTGCAAATTCCCCTCCAAGCTATACACCATGCATGAGGAGACAGCAAGAACTGCAGATGCTGGAGTCAGAGTCAATACAGTGTGGAGCTGAAGGAACACAGCAGGTCAGGCAGCATCAGAGGAGAAGGAGAGTCGACGTTTCGGGTCAGAACTCTTCACCAGGGCACACTATGCATGTTTGACAGACTCAATGCATAATAGTGAAGCATATTCTGAGAACAAAATACTTTGGAAAAGCTTCTTTAATTTCTTCACTGAGCTTGCTTTTCTACTTAAATACACTCTCCCATTCGTTATGGCTCTTTCTTATATACATTTTACACTATTTTCATTTTTTTGACATTCTAATGCCCTTTTGCACACATATTTTAATACAACTGATTAATTTTCAACACCCATTTGTCATATTACCTAACTTCTACATATTTAGCATCCTAATAACAGAATCAGACACTAACAATCCTGATGTGAAACTGTATGTATTTCCTTCACAGTCGCTGAGTCAAAATCCTCCAATCACTCTCCCTAACAGTCTTGTGGGGTGAATCCACACCACTTGGATCACTGTGGCTCAAGAAGAAAAATAGCTGAAACGCAGAGAAAGAATCAAATTTATTTCTACAGTTGTGGCATATTTGGTTTGTTCCCTGAAAGAGAAGTGAATGACCCCTCCAGATCTTACATAAGGGGATGCTTGGATGAAATTAGGAAGTAAAAGGAAATCTTACTTGAAGACTTAAACTATAGTGCATAATTTATAGCATTTGCTTAATTTTATTTGTTTACACATTAAATTTTATTTTTGGTTCAAAATGTAAAATAGTTTAGTTGATCACTCGTTGTTTCAATTTGACATTAAACATTAATGATCTATGTAGAGATCATAACATTCTGCACAAGCAAAAACAGACGAAGAATCTCCTGCCACATTTAAAAATTATACCTTTGAATACTTTTGTTTCTTCGGCTTATTGTAGAGCTCAACAATTGAGGGAAAACTATGCAGCAATCGTAAAAAGCAACATTCCCAAAATGAGGGAAACTTCAGTCAAATTTATAGTTTTTTTTAATTAGGATTTTTAAAATCCTCATTACACTTGAAATCATCTAATTTAGGTCCTTTGTTGTCAAATCTGTCTAATCAAAGTGATTATAGTGCGATAACACTTTCATAACACTACTAAATGTGATTCAAATAAATTCCTAATCACTGAGATACATGTTCCCAGAGGAAATTACATAGAAACAGTAATGTTGCTGTCAAAATAGGCAGACACTTTGCAATTAAAAAGCACTGCTGAGATGTGCAGATTGAGATTGGAAAACTTCTGGAAACATAACACTGTAATAAGCACAAATTCGTAACAATCTGTCTACCATCTTCAAGCCAAATGTTATGAGTGTGATGGAATACTTTCCATTTGTCTGAATAGTTCCAGCTCCAATATCACTCAAGGAATTTGACACCAGCCAGGACAAAGTAGCCATTTAACTGTCATGCTTGCACCACTTTCAACAATCAATGACTGTACAACTAAAGCACAATGACAGCAATGTGTACCATTTATACAATAGAAATAGAATAGAATATCTTTTAGTGTCATAAGATGTACTAGAGGAAAATACCCAAGCTCCTTCAACACAACTTTCACACACGCAACATCCTCCACCTAGAAGTCGACAGCAGCAGATGCACGGGAACACTACCAACTACAAGTTACTCTCCAAGTCTTACATCATCCTGACTTGGAACTATACACCTTCACTGCAGCTAGGTCAAAATTCTGGAGCTCCATACCTAATAGCATTGTGGATGTACCCACCCTCCATGGATTGCAGTGGTTCAAGATGATAGCTCACCACCACCTTCTTCGAGCCAATTAGACATGGGCAATAAATGGTGGCTAGCCCAATTACACCCATGTCTCGTGAGTGAATAAAAAAAAATCAAAACAATATCTTGAATAATGAGTATGCCTGGGTTTTCACATGCAGCTCAGACTTAACCAATCAAACTTTTAATAAATCCATTACTTTCCTGAAATGCTTACTGCAAATGAAAATTGTTTATTCACAGGATTTAGCACAGGCAATACCTATTGGACAAAAAAAAAATCTGAAGGTGGATACATAAATCAGCACTTTATTTCATACCTTTCCAATACAATAGGGATTTCAATATAATAAAATCACGAACCATGAGGATAATGTAAACAATTGTCTCTTCATTTGTTAAGATGTTCTACTTACATGAGACCGTGATTCTCGTGGAAGCAGTGAACACAAGGTTTGTCTGTTCCGATTGTGAGCATCAAAATCAACAAAAATCACTGACCAAGAGCATCCCTGCAAATACAATTAAAAGTGATAATACAGTTTAATCATATTGTACATGTATTTACAGATGTACAGACGCATAAGCAAGGAAGGAGGCAGAAGACTAGAAACAATAAGCCTGTTCGCCTGACCTTGGTCTTCCATGAGATTTTAGGGTCCAGTATTAAGGATGAGATTAACACAGCACTTGGAAGTGCATGGTAAAATATGACTGAGTCAGCATGGCTTCATCAAGGGGAGGTCATACCTGGCAAATCTGTTACAATTGTTTGAGGAGATAATGAGCCAGTTAGACGAAGGAGAGTGAGTGAACATGATCTAATTGGATTTCCAGAAGGCCTTTTACAAGGTGCCACACAGGAAGCTGCTAAATAAGATAACAGCCCATGGTGTTAGGAGTAAAGTACTGCCAGAGGATTGGCTGACTGGCAGAAGGCAGAGAGTAGGGATAAAGGAGTCTAGTTTCAGGACGGCAGACAGTGACTAGTGGAATTACAGCGGGGTCAGTATTAAGATCACAGCCATTCAGGTTATATATTAACCACGTGGACAAAAGGAACGGAGGGCATTGTTGCTAAGTTTGCAATTAACACAAAGATAGGCATAGGACAAGTAGTTTTGACGAAGCGGGGTGGCTGCACAAGGACTTGGATAGGCTAGGAGAGTGGGCAAAGAAGTGGCAGATAGAATACAAAGTGAGAAAGTGTGAGGTTATGCATTTTGCTAGGAAAAATAGAAATCTGAAGTGTAAAGGGATTCAGGAGTCCTGGTTCAGGATTTTCTTAAGGTTAACATGCAAGTTCAGATGGCACTTAGGAAGGCAAATGTAATGTGAGCATTCATTTCAAAAGGGCTGGAATAAAAGTTCAGAGATGTTCTGCTAAGGTATAAGACTCTGGTCAGATCACATTTGGAATATTGTGTGTAGTTTTGGGCCTCATATCCAAGGAAGGATGTGTTGGCGTTGCAGAGGATCCAGAGGAGGTTTACAACAACGATCCCTAGAATGAAGGACTTGTCATATGTGGAGTGGTTGTGGACTGAGTCCATACTTGATGGACTTGAGAAGAAAGAGAGGGGAATCTGTTTGAAATGTACAGAGTACTGAGGGGCCTGGATAAAGTGGATATGGAGAAGATGTTACCACTAGCAGGAGAGACGAGGACCCTAGGGGACAGCCTTAGAGTGAAGGGATAATCCTTTAGAATTGACATGAGAAGGAATCTCTTCAGCTGGGTGGGTGGGGGTTGGGGTGGTGGGGAGAGTTAATCTGTAGAAATCACTGGTACAGAAAACTGTGGTGGCCAAGGCATTGAGTATATTTAAGGCATAGATGGACAGGTTCTTGATTAGTAAGGGGATCAAAGGCTATTAGGGAAAAGGCAGAAGAATGGGGTTGAGAAACATATCAACCATGATTGAATGGCACAGTAGACTTGATGGGCTAAATGACCTAATTCTGCTCCTATATCTTATGGTCCATACACGAGTGAGAAAACATTTTTTGGTGTTATTTTCAAAATACAGATTTAAACATGACAACATCTAGCATTTAATTAGTAGCCTTAAAACAGTAAAACATATTGAACTGTTTCACTGGAGCAATTATCAGACAAACCTTTGACACCGACAATTTTACATTTGACATTGTTTAGACATTCCTTACAGTGAAGCTTTTGAGATATGAGCTAAAAATGTTCTAAAATCTATACACTACGTGAGTGGAATCAATTAGATACCCACTTATTAACAAGGAAGAAGAGCAAAGGGAAGAGTGATGGTGGATAAGGACTGTGCAGCATTGAAAATATTTATTTCAATGGAAATCATTCAGAAGTATACAACATGTAGCAGGATACAGGAAATAAACTCAATAATTTTGGATGTGTTTTGCCTGGAAGTGAGGTGGAGGAAGATTGAACTGAGACACTCAAGAAGGCATGGGATGATTATTTGGACAGAAATGATGTGCAAGGAAATGGGGGAAAAGCAGGTGATTGACACTAGTCATTTGAAGAGCCAAAGCAAGTACAAGACGAGATGGGACTTCACCTAGCTAGGAATATAACTGAAGAATAAGAAATTGATGGGCACATTTGAACAAATCTGTGGATCCAGTTCTTTTAGCAACACAGAAGTATCATCACTGTTGAGGGATGCTAATTGTTGATTTGAATTTAAGGATTATGTTGTAGAACTTTCAGTATGTTGGATAAAATGTAATATTTCAGTTCTACCATGCATATGACTGTTGGTTTTAACATTTTAAAATAACATCTGCATATTAAACAAGGAAATGTTCAGTTTTAACTCAATCTACAGAAGGGATAGGAAAGAATTTGCAACAAGCAAATAAACCTTGCAATGGACTTGATCTTTAAAATACAGTCATATAATTATGTAAATTGCATTTTTTGCAAATTATTTAAAGCAAATTAATTTTCCCTTCAAGAGCCTCAAAAATTAAATAAAATGTTGCCTCTCAATGTTGCTTGTATTTATGAATGTACTTTTCATAGTTGGGCAATTTACAGTCATTAACTTTCCATACAAATCAATTCAAAAATATGATCCTATATAAACACTAGGCTGCTTGTGAATATGATGCACTGTTTTGTGACTTTGTGTGCCTTTTCCTTCATAACTGATGATGGATTACTGACAGTTACCAATTCTGACACAGAAACAAACAAGCAATAAATATAATTCAAAATACCTGATTGCCGAAGAGATTAAAGCCATTGATTGCTTCCAACGCAGCTTTGGCCATACCAACTGAACTGTTAAAGAAATTGGCATGTTTGAAATCTCAGTAATGCAAAAATCAATACAATAAGCATCTCAGAAGCATATAGTTGTGTGCATTTTAGATGGGAGATTTTTTTGATGAAATTATGATGAAATTTTGATGAATTAACCAAATTTCAAATTACTAAACATCATGCTTGTATGACAAACATTCAATTTGAATTTTAAATCCATACATTAACAATAATGAAATGTTCCTGGCATGCCCTCCTGGACTCTCCATTGAACCAGGGTTGATCACCTGGCTTGATGGTACAGCTAGTTCTGATATAACGTGGTAGTTCCATTCTTGTGCAATGTCGCGTTATAAGAAAATCGCGTAATAACCGTGACATTTAAAGTGATGGAGACAGAATCGCGTTACAGCCAACACAGGGAGGGAAAGTTCACATTCTACAAATAACGTTCTATAATTCTTCAAACTCTTTAAAACCAATTTGCATTGAAGAAACACGCGTTATATCAGAACCGACTGTAATGGTTGTGTAGAGGATATGCGGACCATGAGGTTGCAGTTTGCTTGCAGTACAATTTTGCTGCTGTTGTTGGCCCACAGTGCCTCATGGATGCCCAATCTGGAGCTGCTAGATCTGTTCAAAGTCTGTCCCATTTAGCACAGTGATAGTGCCACACAACACAATGGAGGGTATTTTCAATGTGAAGGAGGAACTTTGTCTCCACAATGACTGTGTGCTGATCAAGCTTACCGATACTGTCACAGACAGATGTAAGCAGTAGTAAAGATGAGGTGAGGCATTTTTTTTCCTCCTGTTGGTTCCCTCACCACCTGCTGCAGACCCAGTCCTCAGCTATGTCCTTTAGGACTTGACCAGTTCAACCTGCACTGCTGCTGCTGAGCTACTCTTGGTGGCGAACATTGAAATCCCCCACCTACAGTAAATTTTGCACCCTTGCCACCCTCAGTGTTTCCTCCATGTTGTTGAACATGGAGGACTAGTGATTCATCAGCCTAGGAAGGACAGGACGTAGTAATCAGCAGGAGGTTTCCTTGCCCATGTTTGGCCTGAAGCCATGAGAGTTCATGGGGTCTGCAGTCGATGTTGAGGACTCCCAGTGTAACTCGCTCCTGACTGTATAACACTGTGCCATTACCTCTGCTGGATCTGTCCATCCAGGTGCTGGTGGTGTCTAGGATATTGTCTGCAAGATATGATTTTGCAAGTATGACTATGTCAGGCTGTTGCTTCACTAGTCTGTGAGATAGCTCTCCCAATTTTGGCACTAGTCCCCAGATGTTAGGAATGAGAACTTTTCAAGGTCAACACAGCTATTTCTCCATTGTCTTTTCCAGTGCCTAGGTCGATGCCAGGTGGTCCCATTCAGTTTCATTTCTTTGTTGAGACTTCATAGCAAGTGATACAACTAAGTGGCTTGCTAGGCAACTTCAGAGGGCATTTGAGAGTCAACCACATTTCAGTGGGTCTCGAGTCACATATCCACCATACCAGCTGAGGATGGCAGATTTCCTTCCCCGAAGGAGATTAGTGAGCCAGATGAGCTTTTCCTACAATTGACAATGGTTTCATGGTCATCAGTAGATTCTTGATTCCAGATATGTCATTTGATTGAATTCAAAATAGTGATTGACAGATTTCTAAATACAATGACATAAGCACCAGTGAAAGCAGAGTGGGGAAAAATGCATTGAGGTGGACGATCAGCCATGATCTTATTGAATGGCACAGTTGACTTGACAGGCTGAATGGCCTACTCCTGCTCCTAGATTCTCATTTACCAAGTGAAATTTGTTGAAAGTCATTTCGTAATTTGAGTCTTTGCATGAACTGGCAGGAATTAGGAAAAAGGGGAAATTAGTCACTAAAAAAACCAGTTAAACATTATACAATTAAGCAAAGATCTGATACTTAATTGTTTCCACTAGATTTTCTTTCCTAATTAAATGTAATTTTTTGTTTAACCACAGACATTAGCATTCGGGGCCGACAGCTGCAGCAGCGAGGTTGTCCTCCTGGCATTCAGGGCTGGTGGTAGTGCAGCAAAGCTCCTCCAACGATCAGGAATGGCAGCGCCGGTGGCAGCAGGTTCTTCAAGATGGTGGCGGTGGAAAGGCGACATGTGCAGCTGAAGTGGGACTTGTGGTCTGACAGCAGAGCCATGGACTCTTGGCTGCGGGGCGAGTGTGGGTTCAGCAGTGTCAGCAAAGTGGGCCCAGCAGCAAGAAATGTGCCTAAAGTGGGGTGACTCCTACGTTGGTGGGTCCAGCGCAGGTAGCGGTGAGGCAGTGGAACTCTCCATTGAGGCTAGGTGCTGGCATGGACTGGATTGGAAAGACTAATATTCTGAAGTTTTTACTTTATTCCGCTGACCTATTACGCTGAGCTATTTATTTCTCTATTTTTCTAATTTTTTTTGGTTCCTAAGAATTTGATCTTCAGTATCTGTACTTAGGTACCTATGTACCTAAGATGGTGCTGTAATGCGGCAGCTGTAAACATTTCACTGTGCTCATTTGAGTACGTGACAATAAAGCTAATTCAATTCAATTCAATTTAATTCAATTCATAGGACACCAAAAAGGGGAGAATTTGGTGGACAAGTATCAGCTAACCACCTTACTCAAATTTAATGCAAGTATAAGAAAACATCATCGTGGCTATTTTGCCACTTCATTACTAGAGTTTTAAACAATGAGAAATAGCATTGCACATAGACCACAATATGAATAATAAGTTTACTACTCATTACAAAGGATACTTCATTTAATTACATAGTTTATTTATCAAAATTCTACTTTTTGATTAAATGGATCTATGAATTTTTTAAATAAATGAACCTTCTAGGTGAAATGAATGATCTTTTTCTCTGAACCCTATCTCTGGGAGTGTTCTGAATTGCACCAAATTTTAAACAATGGGAAATTCACCTTTACATACATTTGACAATTTTTCCTAAAGCTAATAGTATCACATTAACAAAGTTTCTCTCAGCTTATAAAGCCTTAACTTGTACCATACCTGCTTTAAAAGTCTACTTCCAGATGACATACTGAAATGCGTTTTTAAGGTACTCTTAACAATATTCTTTTTGTCATATCACAGCATCAGTACACTGCTTAGGTGAATTCGGATTTTAAAATGAGTTACCTTGCTCATACTAACAAATATTCATCACAAGCAGCTTTCTGATGTTGAAAGATAGCATGCACAACATTCAAATAGGATGAGCTAATAGTTTTCACAATTAACAGATTTTCTTAAAGAAAACAATCTTATAAGAAACATTTCATTAGTGTCTGCTACTTTCAGAATAATGATATTACAAAATTACCAACTATGATTCTTTTCAAAAATATTGAGTTACTTTGATTAACATTAGACTGAATGTCATGTGACAGTTCCATGGACTTTCTCTATCACGCTTTTATCAGCAAGATAGTACAACTTATAAAGTAGTCCTTTAGCACCCAATAATTATTTGGGTACAGTTTATTTTGTTTTCCAGATTTTAACTTTTGCACAGGCAAATCCATTTTTCACAACTTAATTATCATTAACTTCAGTTTAACTGTACATTGTGCATTCATTTTAACTTAGGCCAAGATCTTCCATTTTGAAGTTAAAGAATGGCAGCGGACATCATAGAAGTGCATGGGATGGGTTAGCTTGTACAATTACGTGCCTCTGACCAAATTAGCTGTGCAAGCAAGATGCTGCGCCAGCAACTTGGCAAATCATACGCGGCGAGTAAGAAAGAAGTTGTCTCCCTTGGCAGGATCTTCGGGACTCAAAGGTTCTGGCGCTACATTTAAAGACTGCCACTTCACTCGCTGCAAGCCAGAAATGCTCCAGGAAAATTCAAAAGTCTTGTGGTGGTTTCCCCAATGATTAGGAAATGTCATAAAAAAGCAGAAACTGGCACCTATGTTTAGTGACACTGCCTTACAAATGCTGTTTGGAGTCACTGAGAGAAAGGGCATCCCTTTACCAGGGGATGGCACCAGAAGGCCATCCCATCAAACCCATCTGGCTTGGGCAGAGGTCAGTGGAACACAGGTCAGTGGCAGTGGCTCTCACCATCAATTCCATTTGCTCTTTATCCCTTTTCGGCAATAGCATAAAATCCAGTATTCTTCCAAACCCCCTTCAGTTCTGAAGAAGTCATTTTTGATTTGAAACATTAACACCATTTTTCTCTCTACATATTATGCTACATTATTCTTATTATTATATAGAATATTCTCCAGCACTTTCAGTTTTTATTTTTCTTTGTGTTATTACGGGCCAAGTGGCACACAACCCTAGTGCGTGGGCCAAAAACAGCTGAGGAGTGCCAGTTATCAAGATCCCACCCAATTTGAAGAGGACTGTGCAGCTGGCTGGGGAAGACTGGGACTGCCCCTGTGACAATGGGGAGACAGGAATGGCCTGGAACCCAATAAGTAATAGTATGATCTGATCTTTTGTGCACAAAAGGAGTCACATTACACTGCATAAGCTTTTCTGCATCTTCACCAAATAATTCTTATTGCACTAGTAGCACCTAGCACAGATTCAGCACAAAAAGTTGCAAGCTAAACTCTTCGTCACCAGCTTCATCTCTGAGCAGGATGCCTTTTAAACCACAGAAACTCACTGGCAAGGCACAGATTCAATCACCTTGGTGGATACTCAAGCTAGATTAAACTCTATGACACAATCTACTGAGCACATCATTGACATGAGGAAGAAATACCTGAGACCTCTTACATTCAGAGGACTGCTGGACACCAGGTGCCTGTTCAGCCTCATGCAGAAGATATGCCTCTACTTTTGCACTTATGTGACATGGTCAACTTGCAGAAAGAAGTAGGGGAACATTAATCAACTGTGCCAGAGACCCTTGGTTGGCTGGAAGGAAATATGGAGGAGTCTTCCATGTTCTCACTATTGCGGTGGCTCCAGTAGTGAATGTTTGGCTGCCAGCATAGAAAGGGTGATATCACCTGGAGGACCCAAGTCTGGCTGAATACTGAATGGCTGCCAGATATTTGCTCAGACCTGCACTCTATCACTCTATCTGTGGGTGCTCAGCATCATGATCAAGTCCAGAGTGCAAGGTGTCCATTCTTCTAAAGGGAACATGATAGTTCCAGCAGGCATCCAGAGTGGGAAGCAATCGATAGAGATCCTAAGAATTTTTTCCTCAGGATACTCAGAGTTGCCCGGCCCTTCCATCTCCCCTCTAGAATGACCCCACTGCCACCAGTAGCAATGGTAAGGAGGGTAAGCATGCACCTGTTTAGAAGGCTCTTAGCAGCAGGGCACCTGTATACCTAGACACCCAGTTCACCCAACCTAACCCCAGCCTAAACCCACATTTAATATGCTCATCCACCTAACCTGCAGATCCCTTGACACTATGGACAATTTAAAGTGACCAATCTACTTAAACTACTCATCTTTGAATTGTGGAAGAAAACCAGACCACCAGAGGAAACCCACGAGGCATGGGGAGAACATACAAACACAAACAGTCACCTAAGAATGGAATCGAACCCAATCCCTGGCACTGTGAATGCTGACCCTAGTTTCAGATTATGCATTATTGTTCTGTATTCCACCGCCAGAACAAATAGATTCTCTGTATGTACCCACTGAATCATAGAATCCCTATATTGTGGAAACAGGCCCTTCGGCCCAACAAGCCCATACCGACATCAGACCATCCCACCCAGATTCGTCCCCTATAACCCACCTAATCTACACATCCCTGAACATACTGGCGAATTTAGCATGGCCAATCCACCTAGCCTGCACATCTTTGGACTGTGGGAAGAAACCGGAACACTATTTGATCATTTAAAATAATGCAACTAAATAAACTCAATATTTTAAATTCAAGTAAACACAAAGCAAGATAATACAGCATTTTTTTTCATTCATTCACAGGATAAGGGTGTCGCTGGCTAGGCAGCATTTATTGCCCATTCCTAACTGCCACCTGGGAAATTAAGAGTCAAACACATTGCTGTGGGTCTGGAGTCACATGTAGGCAAGACGAGGTAAGGATGACAGTTTCCCTCCCTCCAGTGGAGTGTTGGTTATCTGAATACTTTCTGTACCAATTTAGTAACCTGTGTAATTTGTGTTGCTAGCTTTGAGTAACGGGGTGCCAGGTCCTAGTCTGTCACCATGACGAAATATACCGATTTGCTTGTCTCAACTCAAAGTAGATCACGTTACATTTACCCACAATGAACTCCACAGGTCATAGTCTGCCTATGCCCCTTAATAACTTCTATAATAATGTACACAATTCTTGAACTGTAAATCTTACAGTGTCATCTATAAACTTAAGCACGTAACTCTGTTCCTTCACTCCAGTCATTAAAACTAATGGTAGATAACAAAGGCCCTGATTCAGATCCATAGAGAATACCACTTGCCATATTTGTTCAAATGCTTAAACATAAAATAAGAAAGAAATATCATAGCTGTAAAAGAGACCGGAGAAAAGGGAATTTGGGGAAACAGATGTCATTTTAATTTTCTTTTGCTTAAAATGATTTATTACAGTGGTAATGCTATTACTAATCGTCTTGACATCCCAGTAGCATTTTTAATGTGCTGTTAGGAATTTTACAAAATTGTACAAACTAATGTCTTTGAAATATCAAATAGTCAACAAAATTCCCTGGAGCTTTTGGCCTTCCGAAGTTAGTTGCACACAGTCAGGAAAATTACCCTAGACCTTCCTAAATTATAGACGCCATTTATATTATGGGTACAGTAATAGAAACAGAAAGTAATGCTGTAAAAATGTTCAACATAAATGGCTACTTCAGATTGGAAATTTTTTTTCATGATCCTAGAATAGGAAAAAGCATGCAAGAAAAATAAAATGTTGTTAAGTTTAAAAAAATTGCATCATCCTCATTGCCTTTAATGTTTTAGTAGCACATTATGGCAAAACCAACCGTTTTCTTTTCCCATTATATTTATACACGTAATCAACATACAAAATGTAGGTCTAAAATATTCACAAGGATGTGAAATAGTATACCTTGAATGCAGTTCAGTGCTTCCATTGTTATATTTGCTTCCTCTCTCCCACATACCAAAATCTGGCCTGCGATAGCTTCTTTCCACACAGAAAACAAGATTTTGAATGAAAGTTACCTGTTGAACAACATAACAAAGTTATGACAGGCAGAAGACATTCAGTAATTAGTTTACATCATAATGTCTGTTTTCTTTCCTGAATATTGAAGTCTACATCATCTTCTTTCTAAGCAAGTTTATAGTAAGGTGGCTGGAATCAAATAATGGTAGAAAATCCCATGCTGCTGGAAACATGTCCATTTGGACCCCTCTCAACTTATCAGTAGACCTGTTCAACCATAGTAATAAAACATACCTCAAACATATGAATATTTTCTGGCAATCTAGTATTTAGATGGCATGGTAGCTGTAAATGTACAATGGACTGTGGAAAGAACATTACAATATAGATAAAATTTACCTAATTTGGTCTTTTTAAACCATTTTTGTTCATTTTATGTTTGCTGCTGGCACTTAGTTTCTGCAAGCCTTTGCATAAATTGTTTTAAGTCATTCTGTTTTGTGCCCACTTTCTGTACTGGCACAATAGGCCTTAAATTGGAATCCCTTCCTCGACATGAGGAGGAGGAGGAGAACTTACAAAATCAGGTTTGGCTGCTGATAAGATGCTCTGTGGACTTCTTACGATTCTAAGTTCACACCCGTGCACTTACATAAGCATACCTAAGTTGACAGATAATTAGTACAGACAGAGGCTGCCATTGCAAATGAAACCGGCATAGTAGATTTAATGGCTCTATTAAGGTACACAAAGAATGTATGAACTTTTGTGTTGAATGTGTTCTTAGAAACGTGGAAATCACAGCATGACATGCTTTCAGTGGCAACACTTGAAGAGAGATATGCCAGGAAAGTCAAGAACCAGACTATAGTTGACCATGTCCACCAAAACAGCAGGAACCATTTCAGCAGGTCCTAGTGTACATACTTGTCAGTGGCCTAGTCCAGGTATATCATCTTAGACTCCAAGTCAGAGACAGCAACGTTGAGATTGTAATGGTCAATGTTGAGTTTAAACTTTATTTTAGCACCCTGAAGGATGTCAGACCAGGCATCATCAAAGAGGTGTCAGCTGCTTCATCAGTTGCCTTCAGACTAATGCATACATCTTGAAGACCAATTTCTGCTTCTTGGGCATATTTAGTTTTCACCAGTATCTTATTCCCCTAAATTTTTGGTCATAAAAATTGTCGATCACGTCAACAAATAAACAGAAGACTCAAGGATAACGTGTAAGGTAAGGATCCAAACTAAAGAAATAAAATAATTATGTTCAACAAGTAACACATTTTCTATAGTATTCATTTAGATGTTATAAATAACTCTGGGACTTGGTGATTATGCAGGACATCATGTTGATGATTGGTTATTGAATAATGCTTTATTTGCACTCCCAAAGCCAGGAAATTGGTTTCAACTAGAAATCTATAATTAATTCTTGATTACATGAAAAACTTAAACTCATTAAATTTCGTTCATTTTAAAAAGCAAAATTAACTAAATTGAGTTATTTCCAAAAATTTTTTAAAAATTATAAATATAGCACTGCAAAGGGTTTGCTGCATTTACGACATATGGCTCTTTGTGGAGAGCATTGTGATTGGTCCCAAACAAACACATTTGCACTAAATGTCTGCAACTTTAGCAGCTTTGGCTCAGAGTTGGTGATCTGGAATTTGAGATGTAGTCTTACAATGTATTGGAGAGAGAGGGAGTTACCCAGACGTTTTACTAGATACCAAGAAGCAGCCACACCATTTAAGCTGTTTAGTCATTTAATTTAGTTAATAGTTTTGGACAGGAGTATGTTACTGTGACTGAAACAGGAAAAGGAACTGCAAATTTAATGATGGAGAACCTTTAGTCTTTGCTGTTGCCCAAAAGATTCAATATATTTACTACTGGTGTAAATGAGAAGAGAAACTGCAGGGAGAACAGGCTTTCAGACAAAAGTAAAAAGGGATGTGGTTGGCTAGGAGGATGTATTGTCAAAGGGATAGATAATGTTCTCTGAAGTTGCAACAATGACATCCCTGCACTAGAAAAGAACAATGAACAGGAGGATTTGATTATCATGTTCTGTGTAAGAACCAACCACATGGACAGGACAAGGACTGAGTTTCTGCTGAATGAGTTTGAGGAGTGAGCGTGCAAATTATAAAGTAAAACCGCAAATGACAATCTTCTTTGGATTACTACCTGACCCACCTGCAAATTGGCATAAGGTCAAACGGTTTACAGGTGTGAATGTATGGCTAAGTTATGGTAGGAGGCAATAGTTTTCATTCAGGGCATCAGTACGGGAGAAAGGTGGGAGCAGTTACTGGGCTGGCATCCAAAGTCCTAGCAAGTCAAATAATTAGAGTGACATCGTGGGCATTAAATTAATCGGGAGGAAGAAGAGTTCTGGAAAAATTGCACTAAAAGATCTAATGAGTAAAGTCAAGACTGCAGAGCAGAATAACAATTTGGGTAATTCAAGATCATGACAGGAAGGAATGCAGAATTTAACAATGGTAAAAATGTACAAAGAGAAAGGCCATCCGCACAAACTAGGTGTGTGATGGAATACTCACTTTCCTGAGCTGAGGCAACAAAACTCAAGAAGGTTGACACCATCCATGGCAGCATGGTGGTTCAGTGTTTAATACAGCTGCCTCACAGTCCCAGGGACCCGGGTTCAATTTCAGCCTTAGGTGACAACCTGTGTGGAGCTTGAACAGTCTCTCTGTGTCTGCATGAGTTTCTACCGGGTGATCCAGTTTCCTCCTGTAGTGATTGGTACACGGTTGGCCAGGTGGATTTTGTTCAGTATGAAATCCCTGCTTGGGCCACTCAGGGAGCCCTCGCTGACAGATATAAACAGAAGTCGCTGACAGCCTTCTCCCTCTAGGGACTGGCTCTGAGCTAGCTGGTCAGAGTCCATGTACCACCCACGTGTAAATAAAAGGTGACTTGGTGACAGAATACTGGCCGTTATGCTGTTATTTTACTCCCAGAGTCCAAAGATATGCAGGTTAGGTGGATTGGCTATGCTAAATTGCCATGTAGTGTCCAGGGATGTACAGGCTAGATTGATTAACCATGGTAAAATGCAGGGTTATTGAGATAGCATGGGGGGGATGGGTCTGGATGTGATGATCTTCAGAGGATTGGTGCAGACTCGATGTGCCAAATAGCTTCTTTTCACAATGTAGGAATTCTGTGATCCAAAACTGATCATTATGACTACAAAGTAGCTACCAGCCAGAACAGATGGTATTAGAAGCAGCTCCTCAATTATATTATAATTGAAGAATGAGTAATTAACAATAAAGGCTGGATTTTCCGTATCATTTCTACTAATACCCATACTCCTGTATTTTCAAAAATGCAGTGAAAAGCAGGCTGTGGACATGAGAGAGTAAACAGACATATCTCGAGTCTTATCATTAAAAATTACCTTGGATCTAAAACCACAGTCACACAAATGAATAGAGACCTGCTCCTTTCAGCATATGGTGAACACACTAAAACACACCATTGTCTCAATGTTGAAGGGAATGTATGTCCATGGCCAGATCAGATCAAATTGACAATTACCAACAAATTAGATTATAAAAACAACTTTTAATTGAGGGAGATTAACCCCAGAAGAGAAAACAAAAATAAGCTTCCGAGATCCATTTTCTCACATACTCTACTGCTTCTTTTCTAATGGATTCAATACTCAAAGAGGTTTGTGAAATCATCAGAGCAAAAAAGAGTGAATGGTATACCACATTCAAGTGCCAACTTCTTCACTCTGAATTCAATATCCTTCTGTACAGTACTCTGAAACCAACACAATGCTGTTCCGAGCCCATTCCTCTTTCCTAGGGCACCTCCTTCTTTGAATAGCTGCCACTGACACCCAACCTTATTTAATTGTCTCCTTACACCCATCCCTCAGTATCAACTTCCACTAATGGTGTTCCTGGTCCAGACATTGCTGACCAGTTTATCTCAATATATGGATAGTTGCACCATTCTTATTATCACAAAATCTGGGTCAACACTCAGCTTCAATTTGTTTCAAAGTCAATACAAGTCTGAAGATAAGAAAAACTTAAAACTTAACTGCATTTCGCTGTTTCCTACAATTGATGATTGGAGCCCCACTGTGCTTTAATGAACTTAAATGACTGTCAGCCGATTTTTTTGAGGACTACTTTGGAACTTGCTGTGAGAAAGCAAATTTATGTAATTTGCCCTCAGTGCTCTGTGTGTTCAGCTTATAGACAAAAATGAGTGTGAAATATAAAGATAATGCAGCATTCTTAGTTCTTCACATAATATGTAATATCAGCCCGACTCCATATCCCCTTTTATTGGATTGCAGACTGTGAACAAGGTAATTGTACTGTTTTGTGAAAATGTTTGATATTTATATGCACAAATTAATATGGAAAATATATAAAGAAAGAAAATATATTGAAAATTCCAGATAATTCCAGATATGGTCATACCATTGTCTCGTTTACATTTCATTAACTCTCATGAAAGCATGTGGTTGTGTCAGTAATACAGAACTAACAGTTCGACATGCGAGATGTGTGAGGAGACACAGAATGAAACAAGTATGAGGAGGCGCAGAAATAGATGCGTGAAGAGAGAGAGACTGCCACCAGTGAGATGGAGTATCACCTTCAGGAATAAAAGTAGAATGGAATCCATGAGGTGTAGTAGATTGGGACATGTAAAGAGATAAGATAGAGGCTAGTAGGTGTGAGTGGAGTTGGAAGAGTGTGGGATTACTGAGAAGAAAGGCAGATTAGGATGTCCAAGAGTAAAAGTACATGGTAACTCATTGGCAGAGAGGTGGATTTGGACCAGTTCTCTGAACTGCCTCCAATGCAAGTATATCCCTTCTTAAATAATTGTCATAGTACTTCAGACCCATGCCCAGTTGTACAAAGATTTCACTTCTTTATAACCTATCCCTCTTGTAAGAAAGGCCAACATTCCATTTGCTTCCTGAATTACTTGATGTAGCTGCATGCTAAAGTTTTATAATTCATATTTGAGGACACATAGAT